TTATTTCATCTCCACTCCGCCTCCCCGTGCTCGCAGATAAATCCTATGTGTCCAGGCCGGGGGAGATGGGACCTGGAGGCAGCGCCGTGGGGAACGCGCCGGCCTCGCGTGATCATTTGCACCTCGTCATCTGGAAAGTGGTTTGGGCAATCTGAGGCCTTGATCCAGAGCGTGGGAATGGGCAGGAGAGGTGCTGGTCCTTCCTGATAAGAGCAGGGCTGTGAGCGGCTGCTCCTAAGGGCCACCGTGCACGGGCATGTGCCCGGCCTCCCGGCCTGCTACCCCCAAGACGGGATTTCATGGGGTCACCATCGATGTGGTGACACCAACCAAGGTGTGGACGTGTGGCTGAGACCAAACTCTTGTTGGGAGAGACTCTGGGGGTCTCTAGAAGCTGTTCGGGTGCAGGCCGGTCCCTGGAGATGTCTGCGGATGGTGCGTTTGCCTTTCACACTGTCAAGGGATGAGGAGGACGAGGGTGAAAGGGATGATTTATACTAGTAATTGCCTTATCTGCAGGAGGGTCAGAGGGAGCCCAGGACCCCCTTGGATGGGACCTAATGGCCCTGAGAAGGAGAATAGAAGCCAGAGCAGTAGGAAACCAGCTTCCCAATGGGAAGCCACCAGGGAGAACCTGCTTGGAGGTGCCCGTGGGCCAAAGCCATGGGGGCACCTCAGTGTTCAAGTCCCCGGGAGCACATTGCTGCACATTGCTGCACATCACTCCGGCCCACGCGGCAGGTCCTGCTCAGAAAGCGGCCGTCACCTCCTCCTCGTCGCGAGGGGACGCGCGGTCAAACCGCGTCTATCAGTGAGGAGCACTTAATATAAATAATTAACGAGTGCTTACTCGGCGCTTAGGAGCTCGTAATTGGCAAGAGGAGCGCGCGCCGCGAGCAGCCGCCCCGTGTGCCAGGTCACCGCTGGCCGCCCACCAAGCGCTCATCAATCCTCTCGCAGCCCCTGAGGGCCGCTGCCCCTCGGGTGCCAGCTGGAAAGCCCTGCACCCCCCTGCTTCCTTCTCCTTCCAGGTCCCGAGCGCGTTGGCTGCCTCTTCCCTCTCACAAAATAACCCTTAGGCTGGCAAGGAAGGGCTTCTCCAGGTGGTCCAGAGGAGAACCCCCTCCAGGTGCTTCAAGGAGAACCTAAACGGCCACTGACTGCAATTTAAAGCCTGGCTTTCCAACCAAGGGAATCTCACTTAGCAGGGAGCTTCCCAGCCTGAATCTGGTTGGAATGGGCTCTTGAGGAGCAGGAGAGGATACTTGGGAATCTCCTCGTGTTGGTGATCTTATGAGGAAGAGGTTGCCCCAGGGGAAGCAACGTGTGCCATCATGATCCCAGGATGTTAAGATCCCCCAAATCCCTTTTTCCCGCTGCTTTTGCAGCTTGAACACCTGAAGAAGGTGCAGATGGAGGGTGAGGAGAAGCCAAGGCTTCCCCTTTCCCACCCCGCCTGCATCCAAGCACCTGATGCCCTGCGGAGGGAGCGGCGACGTCTCCAGGGTTTTCTTACCATGAACCCCCTTCTTCTCCCACTTCCAAAAGCTCCCCAATGTGGGAAAGTAGCCCAAAACCCCTTAAAATGGGAAGGGCTGGTGAAATGCTGGGAAAAACGATGGTGTCTTGCCTGGGAAGCAGAGAGCAGGTCTGAGGGTTACGGTGCGAAGAGAGACGGCACAGGGAGACGCTTGGCACAATGGGAGAGATGCAGCATTAATCACCACTGCCTGGGGGAGATATGGGGGATATATTATATATATATATATATATAAAATATATATATATTATATAATATATATATACACACACACACACACGTATGTTTGTCTGTGTGCACCCTGGTGCCAACAGGAGAGTGTTTATGCAATGCAAATCGGCCAGCAAAGCTAGCTGTCCCTGGAAAGTCACTATGGAAAACTCAATGCCTCTTTTTATTCTTATTAATTCTTTTTTCCTCCGCTTTCTCTTCCCAAGCTCCCAGCAACTGGGCCAGGCTTTCAGAGTGAGTGGAGCAAAGCCTAGAGAAGGGTGAATGTTGCTCTCTGGATGCTGCACTCCTGCACCCAAGGCTCCCTGGATTTGGTCTCCACTTTTGCAATGGGGAATCCTCCTGATGCGCCAAATGAAGGTGCAAAAGATGCTTTTTCCTGGCACTTTTTTGCAGGGGAAAGACTCCCTTTGGATGTCTGGCAGCCTGAAGCAGCAGGGAGTTTTTAGTATCGCTCTTGGAGATCAGTGGCGAGGAGCCAGGCGGATATCAATAGTCACTCGTATCTGGACGCAGCCGGCGGAGAGGAAGGTATTAATTAGCGGCTGCTTCTCGACAGTGCGGAGACGGATGGGGATTAAGGTAGCGGCCACGCGCGGCTCTCACGGAGCCTCCCGTAAATCAGCATTGCGCATCGGGGCTGTAAGAGGGAGATACAATTTAATCTACTTAGCAGTGCAAGTGAGCCCAGGGGTTGGTAACGTACGAATCTGGGGGACAAGGGCCGCCCCAAATTATTGCCCCATTGCAAATAAGATGCAGAGCTATAGGATAGAGGCAGGGGAGGTCTGAAGCATCTTTCCTTCTTTCATTATGGAAAATTGGCCCGTGTCTCTTTTCTCTGTATAAATGAAAAGCTTGCAGCTGCGCTTGCTGTTGCCCTTGGAACGAAGCCGAAGTGGCGCAAAAACGTCGGCCTCGAGCTGGGCACGTTTCCCGGGTACCAGGACACCCCGCCGTGCTCAGCCTGCTCTCTGGACGTCCGCAAGAGCAACCAGGAGGGCTCGGGGACCGTGTTTGTGTCCCCAGAACCAATCTGGCAGCCTGCGGTCCCTCATTCCAGCGCAGTGGGGACGCAGCGTGGTGGCAGAGCGCGCGGCGGGGAGGTGCATCTTGCAAGGACCATTGCAGCGGGGTGCGCGGTGCGAGCTGGATCTGTCCCGGGCTCCTTTTTGCAAGGTGTCTCGTGGCGAAGCACATCCTGCAAGGCGGATCCGTGCCAGGCTCATCCTTGCAAGGTGCATCATGGCAAGGGGCATCCACGCAGGGCACGCCGTGACGAGGTGCATGGTGACAAGGTGCAACCGCGCACGGGTTCGTCAGGCAGGCGCGCGCACCGTGCAGCGCTCTCCCTGCGGCAAACTTCTCTCCGATCACCTCTAAAAGCAGCCAGAGCTGGGAAAACAGAAGCATTCGGGGGCTTTGCAGGGAGCGGGGTTTCTGCAAGCCAGCTCGGGCTCTCCAGCCCGTGTGAGCAATGATCCGAGGTGCAGAACGTAAGTGTTTCCTCCCATTTATGCAAACCGGGGAGGTAAGAGGCCCATAATTAAATGTTTGCACTTTCCTCCGCCGTGGTGCGAAGGAAGATGAATTTTAATTACCGGATCTTAATTGTGCGCCTGGCCTGCTTAATATCCTCTTTACACAGGATTAATGCAATTTGCTCTTCCTCGCGGCGGGAGTCAGGCTTTTCCCCTCGGCCGGGAGGCCCGGCCTCATCCTGGCAAGCAGCAGACAGAGCATATATTTATGTGTGTATATATATATATATGTATACACAAATATATATGTATTTATATATATAAGGAGTGCTTGCATAAAGAGTATATAGCTTGTGTTTAGCTGCTTGGAGGGCCTGCGCAAAGAGGGAGTGGGTGTTTTAGCCAGCCGATTGCCCGTGGCGAGTCGAGCACGTGCCAAGCTCGCAGGTCCATCGGGAACGAGCTTTCCCCTGCTGCCCCTTGATTTTATTTTATTTTCCACTGTGCAAAAGACCCATCTCGTTCGGAAATGCAAAGCTGCCTCCATCTGTCGCATCCGATTTGGCTTTGCCGGCCTTCGACCTGGGTGAAAATACCGATTCCCCCATGCGAAAGAAATAGACAGAGGTTCATGCAAAAAGCTTGCTGACGAGCAAGGAGGGAAAGAAAAAACCCGGATCAGCAGATCGGGCCTCTCCAGAGCGGGACACGTTGGAGTTTTTCCCTTTTTTTTTTGCAGTGCCCTTCGCGGCCCTCCCTGGTGAGCGGGCAGAGGCAGCGGCGCATTAGAATTGCAAAGCGCCCGCGCGAGCATAAATAAAGCATCAGCGGAGCAGGCGAGCGCTTTCTGCTGCGCTCGCAGGAAAAAGGCAGCGGCCGCCGGCGTTTAATCTTTGATGAACAAGATGTTGGGCAGCGCCTCGCGCCGCCGCTCCGCAGGGCAGGCGCTGGGATCGCCTTGTACTTGGCTTTTCTGGAGTTGTTTCCGTCCGTTCCCCCACCTTTGGGTGCTCCTCAGGTGTTTTGCACCCGCTTGTTGCTGCTGCACCGTGAAAAACAGCACAGGGTGAATTATGCATGAGCTCCCGCTAATCAAACGCTGATGGAAACGCTGCCTTGGGCTCCCCCGCTGGCGCCTCCACGTCCTTTCCCTGCTCTGCGCTCCACCTTTCCGCAGGGATCAGTGACGGGAGATGCTCTGGCTTGGGGGCGGAAAATCCCAACGCGGGGTCAGCCTTTACCGCAAGCCCAGGGGAACAGGCGGCCACAGGGCAGGTCTCGCCGCACTGCGCCGCTACGTGGCTTTCCCACCCCCATAATGGCATTTTCCCACAGCAAACGGATATTTTCCCAGGACAGGAGCACGTTTTCCCAGGACAGGAGGGTGTTTTCCCCCAGCAGGAGTGTGGTCCCGCATGACCTGGGCCTTTTTCCACCTTTTTCTCACAGCCGGGCCGCTTCCCGACGTCGCGGGCTGCTTGGTGCGCAACCTGCTTCCTCGGCTAATTGCGAGTGCCGTGTGTTGCAATGTGCCGCTTTTATTAACATGTCACTCCTGATTTAAAAGGACATTTCATTTATCTCTCCCCACTTCTCCACTTTCTCTTGTTTTTTTTTTTTTTTTTTTTGTAGACGTAGCAGGAATTTCCAAGGCTACCCAAGCCTCCCGGTGCATGTTGCATTTAGGGGTTGTTTTTATTCCAAAAATGTATTTTATTCCCAATCCAACCTGTCTTCTCGCATTTCCCATGCCCCTCGCAGGCTACCTCACGGTGAGCATCGAGCCGCTGCCGCCCGTGGTGGTGGGTGACTCCGTGACGCTGAAATGCAACTTCAAGACAGACGGCAGGATGCGCGAGATCGTCTGGTACCGGGTAAGGACGCGTTCCGCTCAGTGGGCACCCTGGGGACTTAAAATGCTGCTCTAGGATGGTTTACAGATGGTGAAATTGCCCCAAGGAGGTGATCTGCAAGGGGAAAATCCCTTTTTGCAGCAGTGTAGTCCCAAAAAAATATTAAAAAGGAGAAAGGGAGAGGGAAGCAGAAGAAAATGCATGGATGGAACGATGGATGAAGCAACAAATGGATGGACAGATGGAGTGATGGATGGTTGACTGGAGCAATGGACAGATTGAAGACGGGTGGAGTACTGGACGGAGCAACGAATGGATGCATGGAGTTAGATGCATGGATGGATGGATGGATGAATATCCTGGGGTGCATGGAGGTGCATGCAGCCTGAAACTCGGGGGGAAAAAACCTGGATATTTGCTTGGTTGTATTTGTGACAGCTGTGCGGGCATTATCTCCTGTGGCAGGTGACAGAGGGTGGCACCATCAGGCAGAAGATCTTCACCTTCGATGCCATGTTCTCCACCAACTACTCGCACATGGAGAACTACCGCCGGCGGGAGGAGCTGGTCTACCAGTCGACCGTGCGGTAAGCGGGGGAACCGCCGCGGCCGCGCGTGCCGCGTGCTGGCCAGGCCGCCTCGCTCCCAGCGCCGCACCGTGCTCCTCGCCCCGGCTTTGGCCTCTTTTCCCTTCTCCACTGCTGTTTTTTTTCCCCTATGGTTTCAATCCCCCTTGGCCATCTCCCTTTTCCTCCGAGCGCGTCGCTCGCTCGCTGCAGATCGCTATTTATTTATGGTGGCAAACTCACAAATACTCCACGAGGGGCTGATAACTCATCACGTCTCACTTGTTTCCCTGTTCCTTTTGGGTGAAAAAAGCCTAATCAGGCATTATTGTGGTTCCCTGGCTCTGTCCGCTTCCATCACAGGAATACTCACTGTAGAGGCAGGCGGAGTAATGAATACATCCCAGGGCATGGGAATTGCTCCATTGATGAATATCCTAGGGTTTGTCTGGTCATTCCCGTCCCTGCCCTGTTAGGAAAAGCCGCCTCAGCACAGAGTAGCAGAGATTTGAGGGATTGCACGGAACCTCTTAGTTCTTTCTCCAAGCTGCTTGGACCCGGGTCAAGGCAGGGCACGGGATTAGCGTCGTGGCAGCAAAACGGCTGCGAATCCTGGAGAAACGAGGCCAGAATATAAATAAGCAATGGGCAGGATTGCGAGCGGCCCCGGCGGCCCCGCGGCCGGGCAGGGCTGTGAGCGGTGCCCGCGCTGCTCCACAGGCTCTCGGAGGTGCGCATCGCCGACAGCGGCCCCTACGAGTGCCACGTGGGCATCTACGACCGAGCGGCGCGGGAGAAGGTGGTGCTGGCCTCGAGCAGCGTCCTGCTCAACGTGATGGGTGAGCGCCGCGGCTCGGCCGCTGCCGCGTGCGGCCCCGTTGGCCTGGGCTGCTCACGGCCGCGCTCTCCTCCTCGGCAGCGCCGCCAACGTCCATCTCGGTGGTGGCCGCGG